GAGCCCCTAAAGGGACATGGAGTGGAAAAAAAGAACTTTTGCGAGATCCTGCAATACTTTTGCGAGATCCCGCAATAGTTTTGTGAGATTTCGCAAAATGTATTGCGGGATCTCGCAAAAGTTTTTTTTTTGTGAGATATCGCAATACTTTTCCGAGATCCCGCAATACTTTTGCGAGATCGAGATCCCGCAATACTTTTGCGAGGTCTTGCAAAAGTATTGTGGGATCTCGCAAAAGTTTATTTTTTGCGAGCTCTCACAAAAGTTTTGGGGGATCTCGCAAAAGTGTTTTTTTTCCCCTCCATGTCCCTTTAGGGGCTCCGTAGATCTTACCAAGTATCTTTGCTGAAGCTTTAGTAGAATTTATTTGGTCATTTCCTGATACTTTACCAGTAATTAAATAATAAATTATTCAGTAAATCCTTAAACTTTTCAGAAAAAAAAATCTCTGGAACTTTCCAGGAAAGTCCCAGAAAGATCTTTAAAGAAATGCTCAAACTGACTCTCAGCTAAATATCATTTTTCAAAAACTAAGAAGAAAAATATATTTAAAAAAATCTTGATCAAAATACATCTTACTGAATGAAAGTTTCAAACAAAGGAATGCCAACTAGACTAAAGAGTCCTACTTACTACTATATAAGCTACAAATTGACTTTAAATCTTGGGAAAAAAAACTGTTTACCCTGCTTAATTTGTAAAAGTATACAACATTGCTATCATTCCTTTTTTCTAAATACCTTAAAATGCTGTTTTTTTCTAAATATTTCTACCTTATCCAATTGATAGAATATATTTCACCAAGAGACATGAAGAATCATACCGATAGATAAACATTAAACTTTTTTGTTGGCTTTTTCATCAATATTCAATATTGATTCAATGCCAACACCTTTTTACAGGCTCAATTAGAAAGATTTGAAGAATTGTAAAAATAGAAACGGTTGCTGTTGGGTTCATAAAATGTAGGTTTTTGCAAAAGAAGAACTGAAATACACAGTAAAGGATACAATTTCTGCAGAAGGAGAGATAGTTGAACCCCAGACTCAAACACACCGTCTCCCCCTGGATCTCCTCCGCAGAGCGTTTTATTAACAGAACATGACGCATGGTTACAAACAGAGTTTTGTTCTGACAGAACAATTGATCAGTTCATAAAGACAGAATGCTCCATCAGAATGACAAGGCAGGATGGTCATGACACAGGAGTGGAGCATCCCCTCGCACAAATGTTTCATAAACACACACTAATTTTATGATCATCATTGAATAAACCTAACAGTTGTATTTCATAATACAGATCAATCCTACATGTAATACATGTTCATTCTCTCCAGCGTACCTTTGACTATCTGCTTGGCGCACTGCTCGTAGACTTGCTCCTGCGTGGTGTTTGGCGGCAGCACGCGGTCGAACACGTATGGTTTCCCCTGTTTTAAGAATTGAACAGATCAGGATCCAACATGAGGTCAAACATTGGCCCTTTTCCTGCACATTTCTACAATTATAGGAAACCAACAGATTCTTTATGAACTTCTAGAAACAGTTAAACACAGAGCATTTAAATCTCTACGAAGCATTGACTATATATACATAGAAAGAGCTGATGTTTAATACACTTATAGGGCTTTCTGATGAGAGCATTCCTCGCTGCCTTAGCTATAATCCAACTCCTGACTCTTTATCTCAGGGGTAAACTCCTCATTTGTGCAAACAGCTGCTCTCAGCATTTAGAAAGCAGCTGCAGCGGCACTCCGACCGTCCTACAGAGTTAAAATAAAGCAGAGAAACCCCTGATAGCAACGCTGTCTGTATGCTGGTGGTGCATTTATGATTGATGGCAGGAAGCAGATTCATGCAGTTTGGTCACATGATGCTGGGTTGGTTCAGTTCTACTGCAGTAGGGCTGCAACCAACCATTATTTTGCAAATCAATTATTCTGTTGATTATTTTTTTCGATTAATTGGATAGTGAAAGATTCCTTAAAGAAGACTTTTTACAGAAATTCAGCCAGGTGAAATTCAAACTTTTCGATTCTCCAGTTGACGTTTAATCGATTACTAAATTAGTTGATGATTATTTCAATATATCGATTAATCCATTTTTAAATCTGGAGAAATCAAATCCTATTGAAAAGATAATAAACAGAATGAAAACATTTTTCTTTCAGATATGGCATCAATATCTAAAGCAATCCAGGATTAAAGGATAAACAACAGTTTTAGGGTTACAATTGGGACAAAAATTACTGAATTGAAGGTTGCTCTGCAGGTTCAGGATGTAAAAGCATCAATGGGAAGAGTTTTTACGACGATACAAAAACTAAATTATGTCCAATCTGCTAAGAGAAGATGGATCTGCTGTCAAAAAAATAGTATAAACACTCAGAGAAGCTGGATTATATGGAGGACCAACTCTGCCATATTTAAAAATAAATACAGAAATAAAAAAATGCTCAATAAATAAATAAGCATACAATTAATTGCCACCAAAAATACAATAAACAAATAAATGTAAGTAGAAAATAATTTATACAGTGAGACATAAATGTATATAACTCTTTTAATTAGCTTCTCTATCTATTTGCCTTATTTCTTTTTTTGTCCTTTATAATCTTCAACTTTATTTTTTAATTACTTATATTTTTAAGTATTTATTTATGTGCATGTTATAATATTCTTCCTTTGTATTTTTTTTTACCCTAGTTATTTCTTCGCCGCTATTTATTTCTGCCTGCCATTTTTACATTTCTATTTAAGATAACTAAGAATTAAGCATAAAGCCATTTTTGTATTTAAATAATGAATGTTTCTCTTGCATTCTTAATTGTTTTTCTAAGAAAAAGTTCCGACATTTATTTCCAAACCCATCAAACTGATATAAACCGTTTATTTTTTCTTCTATACAACTGATGTAATTTTCCTTAACCCTTTAAAGGGTGCTTGGTGAAATACTTTGAAAATCCAAATTTCAAGCCAATAGCGTTATTGGAATCCAGGAAAAGAACTTATTTCCTTTGTAACTTTGAAAAAATATGGAGATTCTGATGTCAAAAATGATTGTCAATGTAATAACAAGAAATGCCAACTTCCCCGAATATATTAAGAAAAATAACCTCTAAGAAATTGATTGAAAGAAACACATTTTGTTAGATCCAACATAACCTTAGAGGCATTAAAGCTGATACTGGCACTTACATTTTTTAATTTATAAACCTAAATATAAACGTTAACTAGGCTTAGTAACATTACTTTTTAACTTTTCAATTAGCCTTTTACCTTTTTCTCTTGACTTAACTTTTCCCAGCTTAATTTCCAGTAGGTAATATATCATTCAAGGGCTCATCTAATGCCAAAATAAGATGTACAGCCATGAAGCAGGATCTTTGCGGAATGGCTGGATATAGATCTTGTGCTTCTAGACCTCATTTGAAAGGGGTATGTAAGTGATCAAAAACTGTAACTTGCTCTATAAATGGGTTAAACATGTTAGCGATCAAGGCTTGGACCAAATCCTACTGATCGTGACCCTTTCTTGTCTTGTTCTTAGACCAAAACAGGCTCCTAATGACGTTAAAAGCAAATTTCTAAATTTATAATTACCTCTTTATATGTTAAATAAAACCTGATTATCAACAAGTCATATCAAAAAAGAGAAGGAAGCAAGCAATAGGGTTTATCACCCACAGATTGTCCTGTAGCTTTCCACCATGCAGCTCCTGAGGGATGCGGTTCAGACCTGGTAGACTGCATGATCCCCACCCTTGTTTTTTCACTAAATATCTAAATTATTCAAGGTTTGAAACAAGGTGCAATGATGGAGAACAGAAACGCAGAGCGTGAGCTGAAAAAACACCATCTTTACTGTCATGCATAGCAGGGGCAACATTATGATTTGTGATTAACTTTCTGCTATTGCTACTGTTTTAAATATCTTATCTACTTTACTTCCTCTGCTAGATCATCATCAAATATTCTAAATTAATTAAATAAATAAAATATGTTGATAAAATGTCAATATTTTCAAATGGAGCCATCAATTTTAAAGACAGCCTACTTTTGTTTAGGATTAATATTAGAAAATATAGACTAACACCTTTTCTTTTCCTTCACTGTATCTAAAATGAAGACATTTGAATTGGATGAAGATCATTTTATACCAAATAAAAGAATCCAATTAACTCTATAAAATATTTAGTTTTTAGCTTTTATTTACACAATCTTTCACCATGAGGTTTAAGGGCCCCAGAGGCGCAGACAAAAAAAATGTTTATAAGGGTGGCCAGGCAATAACCAATCAATCTACACTGTTCCAACAGGAAAATTAATGAGTAAAACATCCATATTTTCAAAATAAAGACAAACTATCCTTTCCTAGAGCCTTTGCTAACAAATGGACGAGTATATTTAAACATTTGTGCTTCCTAGATAAAAGGTATAGTGGATACAATTCTTTGAGGTTTGAGTTCTTTCCGTTGTATTACTTAACTAATTTTATCAATAATCGTTCTGCCAAAAATGTATATTTACAAAAACTAATATCAACATAAATTGATTATTTAATGCGTTTTTTATTAAAATAGTTATCTATGATTTCACTGAATTTACTTAATCTTTACTCCATATAACTCAAAATGTAGTTCTGACTGCTGCTATCATCTGTATTAAGGGCTGGTTATATTCTTACAGCAGTGTGTTGCAGTGAGCTTGATGCAGACATTTTTGATTTATGCTCAGTATTTAAGCGTGGTCTGTGCTACACGCTGTGGGTCTAGATACGGCCGAGGCGGTGAGGAAGTGGGGGCGAGTTTAGTGCGACGACGGAGGGACAGGAGAGCGAAAAAGAGCGTGGATCCAGGTGGAAAAAGGGTCCCAGCGTTCTCGCGCACCTGGATCTTCTAGCTGGTCCAACTTCACGAGTCGTTTTCCGCAAATGCGGTCATAAAAACAAAACAAGCCGGCCTCCTAGCTGCAGCACTGTCTGCGGTCAGTTAAAATTTGGGAGAGATGTAGCAGAGTATCTGCGGAGGGGGCGGGGACGTCTTTTTTTTCACTGCGACACCTACGCAGATGACCTTGTTTCGAAGTATAAAGCAGCCTTTAGGGGGAAAAAAATGGTAGGCGTGGCCAATGATTGGCTAAAGGCTGATTTATACTTTGAAACTAGGTCTTCTGCGTAGGTGTCGCAATGAACAAAAAGCTGTCACCTCCCCCTCCACAGACACCCTCCCAAACTGTAACTGACCGCAGACAGTGCCGCAGACTATAGGCCGGCTTGTTTTGATTTTATGCCCGCAATTGCGGAAAACAAGTCATTAAGTTTGACCAGCTAGAAGATCGAGGTGCGTGAGAACGCTGGGACCCTTTTTCCACCTTGATCCCCGCTTTTTTTTCGCCATCATGTCCGTCCAATGTCCGACTAAACTCGCCCCGACTTCCTCACCGCCTCGGCTGTATCTAGACCCACAGCGTGTAGCACAGACCACGCTTCAATATTGAGCATAAATCAAAAATGTCTGCATCAAGCTCACTGCAACACACCGCTGCAGGAGGATAACCAGCCCTTAAGGGTGGCCACCCCTGGCCCCCCATCTAGCTCCGCCCCTGAAGGGCCCCTATGTATAAAAAAAAAAAAAAAAAAGGGAAACCTAATATTAGTTTGATAAACACATTTTCTTTATTAACTTCAGCATCATTCGAGTTGACTGCAGATTTCTGTGAATGAAACTAAATCTATTCTATGTCTAAAGCTCTAGGCTACTAGCTCTAGGTGTTGCGCACCTTTTCCTCTGCATCAGCAGCACAATGAGTCACACTTACAGTGATCACCACGGTGTCGTCCTCCTTAAACTTGGGGATGTACTTGTCTCCTCTGTTGATTTCAGCCTCATTCAGGGGCCTGAAGCGGCACATCACCTTCACTCCGCACTCTGCTGCATCCATGGCTGCGCACCTTCCTATTCTAATATAGAAAAACACAGGAGAGGAGTCAGGGGCCCCTGGGAGCGCCGCGCGTCATGGACAGGTCAGCAAACTTTAACGCATCATCTCCTGGTTTCCATGAAGTTTCCAGCTTAAACAGAGCTTCTTCATCTGCGTCATGGCCGCAGCGCTGCGTCCCAATGCGGAGCTCACGGCTCGGTGTCTGCGCGCCTCCTGCTCCTCATCTGAGCGCTTCTCCCAACAGGAGGAGGAATGCGAGGAGCAGCAGAGGGGGGGAGGATCTGCTCTGTTAGGACAGCCGCATCGCCCTGGACCGCTGAGAACGGAGCGCGCTCCTGTGCGCTGCTGCGGCGCGCATGAAGGGCCCGCATCAGCACCGCAGCGGGGACGCGCAGCTCCAATTGAGCTTTAACCCTTTAGCTACTATTTCAGTCACATATTTGTACAATATTGGTGGAAAAATCAGATTTTCTCTTCAATATTTATCCAAAATATGATTTCTGGATGAATACTTTTGTTTAGTGTTGATTGTTTGCCAAGCATCCAATTAAAGATCCAATTAAGCCACTATTAAGGCACTGGGGGAAGTTTCTATACACAGGCAAAAATAAGTTTCAATGTCCAGTCTTTATGATGGTTCTGGATGGTTTATTTTCTATTTTTGCCAACAATTGCTCTGGTAAAAACCATATAGGCCAAAAATCCCTGCTGGTTCTTTCAAAGGCACCTACTTATAGGAAGAGGACTGATCCACATCACTTCCTGTCATACCTCAGAACAAAAAAAAAGAAAGAAAAACGATAAATAGAATCAACAATTATTAACCTGCAAATAATATCACTAAATACTACAAACAAATAAAAATATAGGAATTTACGCAATTCAAATGGATAGAGAAATAAAGAATAAATAGCTCCAACGCTTTGGTTTCTGCTTACGCTTTATTTTATTTTTGCTGCTGAGGGTTGAGCTTAGGGAAAACCGGTCCAAACTGAATTAGCCTGGTTTATAACTGTTCAACTTTTTCTGAAAGGGAACCTCAGGAGCACCAGGTCCTGAAGCAGGAGTTTACTTTCATCTTTTTAAATAACTTAGAGAAAAGTAGTAGTTTCATTGTGCCTTCTTTTTTTGGTCACTAGAGGGCAGCATAAAACCAAAATAACCCCGAAAGGGCTTACTAAGGATTTGGACTAATACATTTAGAGGTATAGAGGAGGATTTTAGTGTTTTTTTTTTTTAAAAAGACTCGCCCTCTACAGTAAAAATTAAAAAAAAAACACACATGCACAACCCTGTACCCGATTCCTGAGACGGAACGCCTATTAAACCTGTGCGAGAGCGTGCACATGCCCATTTCTCCTCGTGCACACTCCGTTTAAAAGTTGCACTTTGCATCGCTCATCCAAGCTTACTTTCCAAAAGAAGATTTGTAATTTTTCCACCATTTCAGACTCACCAGCGGTAAGAAAATTTGGACGAGCACGTGGGACTTCCTTACTTAAACATATCACCAGAATGATTGACAATTAGGAGGACCACTTATTTAGATGATCCAGCCGGAAAAGGAACATCCTCCACTATACCTTTAAATAGATTTGTGCGAGGGATGAAAATAAATCGTAAACAGAAGAAACATACAAAAAGTCCACAATATTCAAGTAAGAGTGAACATGTTTTTAATATCTTAAACATCTGTGCAACATTATTCCAAATGTTACATCACTGCATGACCTGTAATGTTTCACAATATTTACAAAAAAAAAATGCTGCTTACATCAAACCATTAAAAAAAAAAGTCCAAACAATCTGAAAATAATGGACTCTGACACACTATTCCTAACCCACATTAATGCAGAAAGGAAAGAAATAAAAGCAAACAAGTGCACACCGTACTTCACGCAAGTCTATTCTTTTTGTAAAGTATATATTATTGAGAAAATATATACTTAATTACAAGCCGAAGAGAAAGAAAAATACTGACAGAAACAAAAACAAAAAATGACACTCACACCTCAACAGATTCACAGGCAAAAACTGCTTCCAACGTTTGACCACGGAGAACATGAATGTGATGGAAGGTGGGTTCCTGACATGAGACTGGGCTCCTGCTCATCATTGCACAAAACAAACAAAAAAAACCGGGACAGAAGAGCAGAATGAACTTTACCAAAAGAGCTCATGTGTTTCAAAGAGCACAGATTTCCTCACAAATAATGGTAAAAATTATACCATCAGAAATGAGTGAGCGCATGTGAATAAATTACAGTACAAAGTGATTTAAAAGTTCTTCAAAACAATCAAGAAGATGGTTGGAAAAAAAAAAATAGTGTAGCAGTCGACTCGGTGGACTGGACCGGAGCTTTTCCTCACATCCTCTAGATTTTAATCATGTAGTGTCTTGTTTAACTTACAGAAGTTTTACTAAGCAGGTTATTACATAGAATTCCTAAACATTTGATTTCCAAAGCACTTCACATTGGAGGTTTTTCCGACCAACCAGTTCCAGAGCTAAAATGTTACCTGTGCTCGATTTGCAGCCGTCTGTGTTGATCCACAGATTTAAAAAATGAAATAAATTCATTCAAAGAACAGCAGGGGGAATAATGGAGACCAATAACTGATCAAAATGCAAAGTTTTAAATTCCCAATTAAGTTTTTCAATCTGTTTAAATACAAAGAAATCTGCGCTAAAAACTAATTCAACCGCAAATAATAAACTCACTGAGTTTATAAACACTGCTGGAATTATTTAAGGCTTTTTGAAATGTTCCTGTTAATAGAGCACTTCATAAGCTCTGCAAGTTCTTTTATATAACCAGCTTGTGTGTATAAACATTTCCTCTTTCTCAGTTTATAAACAGTGAATTCTTATCAGTTGGCATTTATAAATCAGGCCTTTAACAGATTGCAACTGTGAAGCAGCACAAACTAACTGTTAGCAGGGCTCTTGGGAAATAATTTCAGATATTTAAATAACAGCCATTTATAAATCCTGCTTGAGATGATATGTTAATGTGTTTAATGTGCTGTTTATAAACAGTTTTTGTTATCTAGTGTTTATAAATTTACAAATAAAGCATTGTATGCAACTGGTTTGCAGAGGTCTTTAGAAAAAAAGATACTTAAATAACACTAGCCTGTGTTTAGAAATCCTACAACTGCGTTTGTAACTCCCATTTCAAACGCTGCTTATAAACAAAATGTCCAAAATATCATTGATGTTTATAAATCCTGTTTGAAACTGAACATGTAACTCCAAGCTGTAACATTTTGTATTGTCAATTCTCTTAAGATCACTGATATAAAACTTCTTAGATCAGTTATTTGCAGCGTTGTTTATAAACTACTGTTTTAAAGGGTTTATAAGTCAGGTTGGTGGAATATTCCAAATGGTAGAGGTGTTTTTAGATACATGATGTTGCTTTCAGCTGCTCTATATGTAGGAAACCCTACTGTAACCGTGGAAACGAACCAGTTTAGCACAGGAACTGCTTCGGTCAGAAGAAACGCCCTCAGAAATGTTACTGTGGAAGAAGTGTTACGTGTCTCTAAAAAGTAAAGAGAAGTATGAAGAAAAGGAAGTAGATAAAAGGAAAAAAAAAAGCCCAAAACTGAAGGTTGCTGAAGATGTTGATCCATCGCTTGGTTTATTGCACTTGATCATTCGGTAGCGATTTCAGGATATTGATCTGGAGGAGCAGCAGTTTAATACAGAGTTTCCGATACTGTCAGTACTGTAGTGTTAAAACTGCATTTAATACCTCCATGTCTGCCTTTTTCTAGAGGTTAGTATTCATAAATAACATGGTCTTCAAACCAAAACACCCCATGACACAATGTGTAACAAAATGAGAAATCTGAGCGCCAAACTTCTTAAATAAAAAAAAAAAGGATACATGATCTATTGTCCACCTGTTTAAAAAAAATATCACATACATATACACATATAAGGCTTTAGTTCTCAACTCTTGGTAGTATTATTGCCATCTAGCATATTTGTAAAGCTTAAAATAAATATGGAGTACTGTACATAAATAATTTACATCAACAAGCAATGAAAAACAAACAAAAAAGGCCTCTAAATAAGACAAATGCGTTCGTCAAGTTAGTGTTTCCTTTCCATGGTCTAAACTCTGAGGTTGGTTAGTCCACCTAAAGCTATATTTGTGGTAAAAGTAACTAAAATACTGTACAGACGAGCATGAGAACAACTCAATCAGTGACATTAAATTGTGAAGGAAAAATCCACCTAATTTAGCAAATTTGGTTTAAAAATAAAGGATAATTGATTCAGAAACTCAAACCAGAAGGTTTAATTTTAAAATCACATCAACTTGAGATGTAAAAAAGCGACAGAGTAAATAGAAGTCATGATTTCTGCTTTGAAGAAACTAACAGACCTCACAGTGTATCAGAAACAATGATTTAAGGTGGATTATTCCTTCTTAAAAGCGCCACATTTGATTCGTAAACATGGTGGTTTTCCTGTCGTGGATGAAGCTGGTGGAGGAAAATAAACATGGAACACTTTCTGCTGGTAAAGTTCATTCTGTTTAGTTTGGAAACGAACACTAAGCCGGCCTGAAGCCCCGTCCTCGACCGAAGAAAAGAAGAACATCACGACTTACGGTTCCCAATATAAAAGCTTTAGGCTGTCATCTTATTTGTCCTATGCATGCGGCCCGAAGCAGCCGCACGTCTGGATAGAAACCAAGACATTGGTACACTTCTACTGCTTTGTTTTTGTACAATAAAAGATAAAATGTGCATTAGGTACGCTTGTACATGACATTGTACAATATATACATACAATTCTTAATAGCAGGAAATTTCAGGATTATCTATATACATATTGAAAATGTATCAGAAATATTTGGACTGTCTATTTTTCTTAAATATGTAAGGTAATGCTTGTAGCTTTTTTTTGTTTATTTTACTATCTTATACTAGAAAAAAATAGTTAATTCAGTGAACTGTAGACAAATTGCAACTGTTTTTAATGCGTTTCTTTTTTTTGTATTTTTCTTTTTTTTTCTCTCTCTCTACAGTTGAAACTGTATTGGTGATTGGAGTTTCCAGCACCTTCTGTGGTCAGTCACAAAGTCAAGTTGATGTCATGGATCGAGGTTTTTGTACCACTGAGAGTCCATGTGTAGCACCTGTTGAAGAGCTCAGATGGCCTGGCCGAGTCTCCGGGTGGCTCCGACGACGTTCTCGGGCCTGACACATTCAATGTTATCTGGATATTTTCCTCCTCTTGGGCTTGGGGAGCATCAGCTGACGGTCCCTGGAAGGGAGCTGGAGACACAGGGAGGAGGGGGGTTAGGGGTAGGGTGACCAGATTTTCTCTTTCTGAAAAGGAGGACACTTTTTAGAACAATTTCACATAGATTTGTTGGTCACATGACCTGGAAGCTATTGAAGAAATATCAGTTATTTTTCCAATAAATTTTTTTTTAAATATACAAAGGCGTAAAATGGAATAAAAATGAGTGTGCCTCATCAGGCTAATGTAGTAAAATAATTTCACAAAGAATCTGAGTCAGTGGGTCACATGACCTGGAAGCTATTGAAGAAATATCAAACTGTTTTATTATAAAAAAGCTTTCAAAATGAACAAATGCTTAAAATTGAATAAAAAAAAAAAAAAAGAGAGTGTGCCTCATCAGGCTAATGTAGTAGAAGAATTTGACATAGATTTGGAGTCAGTAGATCACATGACCTGGAAGCTATTGAAGAAAAGCCCCAACTTTTTGCCCCAACTTTTTGCACACTGTCTTTATCCACTGCACTGTTTACACTTTGACCACTGCTGCACTTTTTGCATAACAATCCGTAAAGGTATTCATCTCATTTGAAATATCAATGCAATGTTCATAAGCTGTATGCAACGCAATTTTGTTCTGTATGCACTCTGTGCATACAAAATGACAAATAAAGAGGTCTAAGTCTAGTCTAAGTCTAAGTCTTTTGTCTTTAAAAAATGTCTCAAAAGTAGAAAATAGCTTAAAATTGCATAAAAGCAAGTGTGCCTTACTTATGTTAACTATTGGCATGATTTTATATTAGTTTGGTCTTTGGAATTTATTGGTTTTTGTTTCTCCGGAGTGCTTGTTTCAAAGATTTGTTGACGGTCCCTAAAGTTGGGCTTACACTGTGCGACTTTTCGCCCTTGTTTTAGCCTGATCGTGCGTCGCGTAATGCAGTGGTCCCCAACCTTTTTTGCGCCACGGACCGGTTATATGTTAGGCAATATTTTCACGGACCGGCCTCTAAAGTGTGGGGGGTAAATACGATAAAATAAAATGATACGACTAGCATAAAATTAAATACTAGCAGCATAAAAATAAAACTCACCATTATGTTGAATTAGTGAGAGCCCTGAGCTTGTTTCTCTGAAACAAGCCGGTCCCATCTAGGCGTAATCGGAGACAATGACACACGAAGTGTGCTCCTAATGTCCTGTCTGCTCGGTAGCTTTGTTTTGGTTGCTGTAACCGCAGAAAATCCTGCTTGTACGGCCCGGTACCAAATGACTGACGGACCTGTACCGGTCCGCGGCCCGGTGGTTGGGAACCGCTGGTGTAGTGTACAGGTGGTAACGAGGGGCGATCAGCCTCTCATGACCACCTCCCGATCAGTAATCATGAAGTCGTAAGAAAATCCCACGTTTGATTTTCTCCCAACCGACGTGTGCAAATCGCTCAGTGGGCAAACGAGGATTCATCTTTTTTTCTTCTTCCTCTCAGATGTAAACACAGAAGCATGGCGAGTGTGCGGGTGAAATAAAATTTCAATAAAATTGACAGACCGTAGAAGTCACGTTTTCTCAGCCGTGTCTTTGTCAAAACGTGTCACCGGCTTTTCTTTAAATATTAGGTAAATTAACTAAAGTGCTTCTATAAGAAATTAATGAAAAACAATTTTTTTTGGTCCAAAATAACCTTAGAGGCATTAATCCTGATACTGGCATTTAAATTTTTTTCTGCTTCTAAAGCTACATTTAATTGTTAACTAGGCTTAGAAACTTTTTAACTTTTCAATTAGATTTTTACCTTTTTTTTCTTGACTTGTTAACTTTTTCCAACTTAATTTACAGTAGGTAATATATTATTTAAAGGCTCATCTCATTGGTCAAATGCCAAAATAAGATGTACAGCCATGTAGCTGAGTCTTTGCTGAATGACTAGATATAGATCTTGTGCTTCTAGACCTCACTGACAGACGGGGGGCGGGGACTCCATTTGTAAGGGTTATGTAAATGATCAAAAACGCTATCTTGCCCAATAAAGGGTTAATGTTGTCATGCGGATTTGTACTCGATGGTTGTGATAGTCATTTTAACTATTGTGGGTGGGGAAACTCGACATCCAGTGCATTCAATACATCACCCATCCCTCACTGGAAGGAACCATTTAAAACTGTTTTTGTTTTGTTTTTATTTCCTTGGTTAGACATTGACATTCATTTGGTAAAATCAGGGAGGAACCTGTCTTAGATACTCACTGTGCCTGACATCTTATCAAGCTCACTCATGGCCTCGTGGAGAGCAGCTTGCAGGGGGTTGTTCAGTTTGGGTCTGCAAGAAAACAGAACATTTTACTATTGTCAAATTAACAGCAGCAGGAGTTTCAAAACATTCTACATGTTTATGTGCTTCTTACTTTAAGCCTCTCTTGGCGACTCGGTCAAGTGCCTCCAAGTCGTGGGTTAGTGTTTTTAGCTTCTCAGGTTCAACCTGCAGTGAGAGGAGATAAAATATAAGGTGTGTTTAATACTTTGGAGTAAAAACTGCCAGAGTTCGATCAAAAAATGACAGGAAATTATGTGTGGATTTCAAATACTGAAACCAGGCTAACTATTGCTAGCTAAACAAGCTAATATTTATCTTCATTCAACAAGAAAAACATGTCAGATTCAATAATTTCAAGTACAAATAAAAAAAACATTTAAGTTCTCTTTGCATGGCAGCCATATTGGATTGTTAGGCTGGGTTGCACCAAAACTTCCTACATTAATTTAATTTTTCTTATTCTAAACTTAGAAATCAGAGAAAAGGTAAACTTAAACATCAAAGAGTAGAGCATGCTTAAATTAAACCTCACATTATAATTAAATCTAGCGCGCCCAATTATCTTCTGACACTTAATTAGAAATTAGAGGCCATCTGAGGATAATTCCATCTCAGCAAAAATAGATATGGTCTGTTTTTTGGCCTCAGAGGCAGCATCACAAAGACTGAGGAACCGAGCGGAACGGAAGGTGGGGAGCAAAGAGAGGTTCTAAAATAAGATCCCCTAGAGCGGAGGGCTTCAACAGGGGGTCCGAGGCCCCTAGGGGGTCCACGGAGGTACTGCATGAGGGTTGCAAAAGTTTTGAATGATAGACTTTTTTTTTATTCCACTCTGCAATTTTTTCCACTAATTGAAATATCTTAAAATAAACATAAACATTTCATACAATATATATAATTAGGGGTCCCTGCTCCATCTTGCCATCAGTTTGGGGGTCCTTGGCTTGGAAAATGTTGAAAACCCCCAGCTTTAGAGTTTAATCCATAAAGGGGTAGACCATCAAACCTAGAAAATCATGTAGAGCAGTAAGTAGAGACCAACCATGAGGCCCCTGTGGGAATGGCCCAGTCAAAGTCCAGATGTAAACACAGGAGAAACTATTGTGGTGAGGAGAAAACAGGTTAAACTTTAGTCTGACACAGACTGTTTAACCAGAAAAGAGTTTCAGCAGTGGTTACAGTCAAAGGCGGTTCTGCTACATTGTGACTAACAGGGCAACAGAAGGACAGGAAGTCTCCAGCCTTTTCTTATCATACTCCAAAGATGATAAAAAGGTTTTCAAGAAATCAGCCCAGGCTGATTCCTGCTCATACTGGCTTCTATCTGCCACTGTAACCAGCAGATAAACAAAAAGCTTCCCTTAAAGGAAACTTTCTATTCAATCCAAATTCAGCTTTAGTATCAAACCCTCTGCTGATGTGTTTTTCAGTCCTGCCCAGTAAAAAGGAGACAGATGTCAAGTCTCACCTTAGCCTGCTCTCGCAGCTGCATTGCCGCGCAGTGCACCTGATCGTCCCCGGCCAGCTTGGCAGGCCAGGGTGGGAAGCTCTTCAGCTGGCCCCAGACCAGTTCTCCCATATTGAAGGTCCTGGAGCGGTAGTGGAGCAGCTCGGATGAGGGCGAGTCGGGCTGCCGAAGGTCCTCCTCGCTGCTCAGGCTCTTGGTGTCTGACGGACTGGCGGCCATGCCGTTGAAATGGCCGTTGTAGTGGCTGTAGTCTTTGGGCGTGGCCAGAGGCCCTTCCAGACTGGTGGAAGAGCTGGGTGACTGGTCGTCCCCCGTCAGCTCCTGCCGTGGGGGGCCCAGGACTTCTCCGTAAGCCCTGGAGTTAAAGTGAGGGGTGGAGCCGTTGATGTGAGCGCACCGTTCCACTGTCTGTTCCAGACGTTCTTTGTAATTGGCAGGCGTCCGGTTGCAGTTGCTGAACCGGTCGAAAAAGGTTTTATCGTGGGGAACCGACAGGCCGTGGTCATTGGAGCCCTCGGCAGGGCAGGGTGGGGCGGGGGCCAGACTGGCAGGTCTCTCAATGAGAGGACTGCTTCTTACTTGGGTAGAACACTCTAGAAACTCCTCCCCACCCCAGGTGTTGCTCTGCGTATCAAAGCCTCCCGGGTGTGGCGGCTCTCCTTCCCACTGCCCTCTCGGGGTTCCGCGGCCAGGGGAGCGGAAGTAGTCGTTGGTCTCTGGGCCGTCCGGGGTGCTCTTTCCTTGATCCATGTTCTTCTGTCCGCGCCCTAGCCTCACCTGCCTCTGTCTGGTTTGCTGGGGTATCGTCTCTCCATCTTGGTGCCCGTGCAAGACTGCGCTAACCGCCTGGGGGACATTGACGGGGTCCCCCATGTTGGCATTGAAGGCACTCATGGCACTGAGGGCGGGTACGGGGCTGGCCTGCGTGGTCCCGCTTACCGTGGTGGTGATGGTTACATGCATGCCCTTATTGGCGGCGTCCACCACTGCCCTGTAAATGGCATCAACCACCTCCGGCCCTCCGCCGGGGCCCCTATCAGAGCCAGGCTGACATGCAGGAAGCCCCTCACCTCCGGACTGTTGCTCCTCCACAAACTGTGGGTGAGACAACATCCCCTGCTGTGGAAACAAAAACAAACATTATTTCTTCTTCTTTGTCAGAAACTGTAGAACCCAAAGGACCAATGTCTACCTGGTAGTTGGGATAGATGCAGGACATGGGGCCCCCGTTGCTGCTGTCTTTGTAGTGTGGGTTGTCAGAGAAGTGCTGCTGGCCCTGGTAGGCTGGGTGTGTAGATACCGCCTGAGGCATCCCTTGGTGGACCTGCTGTTGGTACATCTGACCTCCAACGGCGTTGACATGTGGCTGTAGGGCGCCCATGCCACAGCCTGAAACCAGGGAAGGAATACATCTCATTTACACACCACAATACTTTATTTAGGGGGTTATTACTGCGGCAAGAAATGGGCAATAGATCCAGCTTTGAAATCTCAAATATATATTATAAATACAGTTTAATTTCTGCACAGATCTTTTATATAGAAGGACCTGGTGTTAATAAATGGATAATAACACCACCAACCTAGATATGCATTGTGTAAAGATTTACACTGTAAAATTTCTCTGACTCCACCAACATGATAAAGCTCATCGTTTTCCATCCACTTCAGTTTGAGTCACTTTATTCCACCAGAAAAATCAATGGCTGAAAGAATATCTGTTGCGTCCAGACTCTCAAAAGGGAAAAGTTGCACATTAACAATCTGTTGCGGCCCAAACCGACAGATGGACGAGCTACCAGATGAACAGTACGGCCAGGCTTGTCAGCGAAGCATCGAAGGACGGCGCGTGAACAAAGTACATGGAGGCCACAGATGTATCAATGAATAAGGGAGCGAGCCCGGCAGCGCCGCTACGCAGACAAAGCCCAGGCAGCAGTACAGAATCTGGAAGGCCCGACATGTTTTTGTGGGTGGGAACGTGGACAGGCAGCGACTGGAGCAGCTGGTCTGATGCTACGTCGCTGAAGGGCAGCTGTGTGTGCTCTCTTTTCTTCCTAACCGCCCCCCCCCCTCACTCCCTCCGACGCAGAGGAGCCACTACGAGGCTGACCCCCTCCCCCGTCCTCCCCACATCCTCCGCTGGTGCTATGATATAGTGACGGCTGTTGCTGGGGGACGCTGCCATGGAAACCAAGTGATGATTGGTGGTGCTGTCCGCAGCCAGGAAGCTTGTTGGGGGAGAGGGGTGGGTGAATGACGAGGGCGGGTGGGGGTAAGAGGGTCGGGTGGAGCAGTTTTAGTCTGAAGGGGGATGGGGGGCCCCGGTCGACTGGATATAGGGGGTCGGGGGTAGTTTACAATAAACTTTTGAGTATTTGTTAATGGCGGTAGAGTGAGTGGCAGTGGGTGGGTTCAAAGCACAGCAGCTGTATGGAAACAGATGGTTTAAGGCTACATCTCAGATGGCGCGACCCAGCTCCGAGTCTGTGACTGTTAAACGCTTTTAATTGTTGCAGCCTAGAATAAAATCCAACTTTTATCTCTATTCATAAATTTCATACTCTGATATGGCCTCATGACCTAATGCTGGTCTGAAAGAGCTAAAGCTACATGCTATTTATGCGCAGAGATGGAAACTTTGGCCCAAAATGTCAGACATTATCAAATACAGATTTTAACCAACATTATGTGCAAATACTTAATTTAAGGCTCATTTAAAGCTGTGGGAAAAAATAAAAATGACCCTGTCTTGCTATAACCCGGCAAAAAAAAAAAAAAAAAAAAAGACTGATCCATAACGACATCATCAGCAATAAATCTTACATCCCTACACAGCTGGTTTAACTGAAAATGTAAATGCTGCACAGTTCATCTCTGACAATTTTCACCCTTTAATGACCTTAACCGGGAGGGGGGGGGTACACCAAATAAAGCACTGACATAGTGAGCTTTTTCAATTTTATTACCAGTTCAATTCAATTTGACTTAGATAGAGCTTCTCTGATTTAAAGAAACTTAAGGTTAAGTATTTTCTAGAGCTTTAGGACAACAGCGAACCCATATGTAGAACTGGAGAACATCTGGAATAGAAGAACCTATAAGAGTGGTTGGCTGACTAAAATAATAAAGGTCGAAACTAAGATTTATCAAGAAGGTTGCAGGAAATAACAGGAACGTCAAAAGCACTGCAAATGTCATAAACATCATTTCAGGTCAGAGGTCATGAGTAAAAAATAAGGAAGAGAGGCTGGGCAAAAATAGCCTCCACAGGAGAGTTCCAAGGTGAAATCAGCCTGCTGATTATAAAGAGTAATCTGTGAAATAATGACTTTTTTTTTCTTTTGGAAACCTGTGAATCCATAAATTTGCAGTAAAAAGATGAGCTTTTCAGAAAAATAAAAAATACCCGCATTGAAACAAGGTGGTGCCAGTTTGATAGTCTGGGTTGTTTAAGTGTTTAAGGATCTTTACAGGTAATGAAAACATAAATTCTGCTTTCTAGCATTAAATCCTGGAGAGGATTTCCAGTAAGAGATTTGTGATCTTTACTTTGAGATAACTTGGTTTATGTGGGAGGACATCCAAAGCACATCTTCAGGCCCAGGTCTAAGATTTGCGATTTGGGTTCTGGTTCCAAGTCGGGTCAGCTTGCTTTGGGGAGTTTTATTGCTTAATCCTCTTTCAAGGGGACTGGAGCTTTTTTACAACAATAATAAGCTTGTAGCTGACTAATTATGAGACTGATACACACGTATACATCCAGATCTTTTTCTGAGTCTCCTGTACCAGAACTTCTACTACATTCTAATATCCAGTGACCTGTCGGCGTCAAAAGGCACTCAGTTTGTGTTTGTTCAGTTTTTGTTTTTTTGGGCCTGTTCCATAAAACACGCAGCGGCAATGAATGATGCATCATCAAGACACCGAGTCCACCGAAGTAAAACCTTTTAGCAAAAATCTGATCATTTGCATCTGACCACTCATCAGTCCTCCAAAAACACCAGCAAAACCAAGCAAAGCTCATAAAATCTGCAATAACATTGCTTTTTTTCCCCCCATCTAAATATTTCCTCCACTGTTTCTGTCTTATAACCGACAAATATCTTATTAATCAGCTAAAAGCTTATTCTTCTTTCTGTATTACAGTAGCACGGTATGCAAATATTTGGAATCTGTACCTGTGGCTAAATCAACGAGACCTTTGCTGCTCTTGCGTGTGATTCGCTGGTGCTTCTGTTCATCTCAAATTAGTGCATAATATTGGATTCTGTTGAATGAAACCTTTCCAAAGAGCTATGAAACTTCCTGCAGGGTTTATACAGGAATGACTAACTCTAATTTAACACTTTTTAATGCTATTAGAAATCATTTTAATGTCAAAACAGCAAAATCCTTCACCTTTACCATCGACAGGCTGCAGCCATGTCCCAAATTCCTCGTTTTCCTGCCACTGTTGTTTAAAATAGCATTTTTCAATTCTCTAGCTTTTTCTCTGCCTCGCACTTCTTTTCCAAACATACGGTTTTACGATCAACCGGAAGCAGTTACTCGCAAATAAATCGCAATATAATACATCTGACGCATTTTATTAAATTTTTTAAATAAAGCATTTTAAATGCCACGATAATAACATTTAATGCATTTTAATGCCAATTAAGGCCTATATATAAAAAATAACTTTTACAGATTTTTTAACGACCTGTGGAAACCCTGTCCTGATTGGAAAAATGGTTATTTAGATACTTCATTATTTCGTCTGCCGCTTAGCTTTGTATATAGAGTAAAATCCAATTTTATTTAAGCACTTAAAAACAACCACAGCTGACCAAAGTGTAGCTGATAAACAAAACAGCTAAAAAATTTGGGTAAAAATAACCTTCACACAATCAAATCAATAAAACTGGGTAAAAGATAAAAGGAATAACACATTAAAAAAAAGTAATTACAGTGTGTAAATAATGTGCTTAAAAAAATTAACACTTCTGATTTTTTGGGAGGAAAACTGTATTTAATAACCAAATATATAACAGCGTTTCAAATGTTCAATTTAAAGAATAAATTACAAATGTCTGATATCAGTCCAAAAAGGGCACAGTAAAGGCCCGCCTTGAATTTTTCAATTAAAAAATCAATAACTTCTCTACGGAAGAGGAAAAGAATAAAAAGAAAAAAAAAGTTAAATGATTTTTACATTTTATATCAGTATAATATGATAAAACAGTCAGAATTCTGAGATTAATGACAAAATTCTGATTTGTTTTTCTCATATTGTAGTGAAAAAAAATTTAAAAATCAGTTAACTTTCTTTTATTTCTCAGTGGCTCTAATCCTCCACCGTATTTCTCAGTTGCTTGTTGGACGGACACCAAACTTGCTACATATGTAACAAAGATGTTGTACTTGCGATTTATTATGTTTATTTCCATCATTACAGGAAAAATAGTCTTTTTTATGTAAAGATCTTTTTTTTTTATTAAGGTGGAAGTCATTTTTTTGGCTATTTTAAATCTAATTAACCAGAACAATATACTTTTAAATTTTCACATGATCTTTCAGGACCTTTTTGTCTTGAAGGATGATGTTCATAACATTAGCAACTTAGGTAGTGTACACGT